CCTTGTCTCTACTAAAAACACAAAAATTCGCCAGGTGTGGTGGCGCACACCTCTTATCCTACCTACTTGGAAGGCTGAAGTGGGAGAATCTCTCGAACCTGGGAGGCAGAGGTTGCAGTGAGCTGAGATTGCACCACTGCACTCCAGCCTGGGCAACAAAGCAAGACTGTCTCAAAAAAAAAAAAAAAAAAAAATGCCGGGCGCGGTGGTTCAAGCCTGTAATCCCAGCACTTCGGGAGGCCGAGACGGGCAGATCACGAGGTCAGGAGATCGAGACCATCCTGGCTAGCATGGTGAAACCCCATCTCTACTAAAAAATACAAAAAACTAGCCGGGCAAGGTGGCGGGCACCTGTAGTCCCAGCTACTCAGGAGGCTGAGGCAGGAGAATGGCGTAAACCTGGGAGGCGGAGCTTGCAGTGAGCTGAGATCCGGCCACTGCACTCTGGCCTGGGCGACAGAGGGAGACTCCGTCTCAAAAAAAAAAAAAAAATTCAGAGACAGGATCTCACTCTGTCACCCAGGCTGGAGTGCAGTGGTGCAATCATGGCTCAATGCAGCCTCGAATTCCTGGGCTCAAGCAATCCTCCCCGCTCAGGTTCCTGAGAAGCTAAGACGACAGGTGTGTGCCACCTGCTTGTCTAATTTTTAACTTTCTTGTAGAGATGGGGTCTCACTATGTTGCCCAGGCTGTTCTCAAACTCCTGGCCCCAAGCAATCCTTCCACCTTGGCCTCCCAAAATACCGGGATTACAGGTGTGAGCCACCACACCTGGCCCCAAGTGCCTTCTTGCGTGTCCAATTCTGGACTCAGAAGGTGGGGCTGGGCTTAGAAGCAGGGGGTCACCCCGGAGAATATTTGAGAAGGCTGAGGCTGGGTGGGTACATGGGCCCAGTAGGCAGCAAGACTTGCCCATCGGTCTGACAGACACGAAGATGGACCTAGCCCTGGCCCCTCCTTTCCCTCTGACCCCAGGCCCATGAGGCAAGACTGGCTAAGTCTCATAGCAGCCCGGCCCCTGGCCCCTCTGAGCCTGTGGAAAGCCCTAGTTGCCTGTGACTGAGGAGGGGGCATCACGAGACCCAACTCCATTGCTTGTCTTCCCTCCCAGGCTTCCAATCCTCCCAGCGGATCCCACCTCTGCAACTTTGCCCAGGCTGTGCCGAGACCTGGAAGGCCCCTCCTCTCCCTACTCCATCTTGACAAAGCCTTCCTGCTTCGGCTCAGGGGCACCTCTTCCAGGAAGTTGGCCCTGATGACCCCAGTGGAAGGGAAGTTCCTTTCAACTGAGCGGGGAGGTGCCCCACCCTAGCAGCCCCTCCCAGACCCCAAGCAGCCTTGGGGCTCCCCAGGCACTCGCCTGGCAGAACGGAAGCAGGGGTGGGGGCTGAGGTCTGCCACCCTGGCTGAGCACCCAGCAGCCCCTGTGGTTGCAGTTTTACTTGTTTTGAAAGCCTCATAAATGATCAGTAGTTTGGGAAGGGGGGGCCTGGCTAGGCTAGACTAGGGGGGATGTGGAGCCCCAGGGACCAGCCAGGCCCCTTTGTGACCAGCCTCTAATCTGGTGTGATGGCACCACTGGTGGGTGGGACACAGCTGTCCCCAGAATGTACCTGGGGGAGGAATGAGTTCACCTCCCCCGCTGGGTGAGTCACTTTCTGGGGGGTGGGGGGCGGTGGATGGAAGAGGTCAGGCTACCTCATTCCCCTAAGACACTGCTGGGCCTGCTTCCCCTTTTGAGGGCAGAGAAATGTCCCTCCCTCAGCTTGGAAGAGGAAGGGGCCCAGATGCGTCAGCCCGTGCACCTCCCAAGACGCCCCCTGAGCTCCAGCACCTGGGGACTGCATTTACCTTTGTTCCCATTTCTCAGATGGAGAGGTCGAGGCCCCGGGACGGGCCGGGCTTCCTCCCCACCCCACTTCTTGCTCCTCTGCTCTCCCCAGTGCCCACTCAGCCCCCACTCCCACTCCGCTCCACACACAGGGACATTTGAACATTAATGGGGACTCCCCAAGCCCCGGCGGGGCCCCCACAGCTGTGTCCATGGGTCTCTCTGATCCCTGGGTCCAGCCACATCTCCAACCCCAGGGCCCCACCAGCTCTGTGGGAAGGCAATGCCAGCTGCAGGCGGGGGCAGCGTTGGGGCCAGGGCAGAAGGCCCCAAGCCTCTGACTCAGCCGGGCAGGAAGGAGGCCAGGAGCCTCTGCCCGCAGCCTGTTCCGTCAAGACACCCCCCGCCGCCCCACCCCGGAGTCTCAGCTTCCTTGTTCAGAAGAGGGGCCTGCACTGTCCTGTGGGAAGTGGGTGGGCACGTGGTGGGTGCCCAGGGAGGATCACAGCCACCCAGACGGGGGTTAGGCTGTGTGATGGTGAGGGCCCTCCATCCTCCCGCCATCCCCATCACTGCCCACACCCCCTGGGCAGCTGCTCTGCTGACTCAGAACCGGCCAAGGCCAAGGTGGGGTCACAACCCTGCCAGCCGCCCCCAAGGCCAGGGCAGCCCCCAGCCAGGTTTAGAGTGAGGGGTCTCTGCAGGCCCATTCAGCACATCAGCACTCATCTGGAAGGGGCAGCGATGGGGGAGGGCAAGGTACCCCCACAAAGAGGGACACGTCTCATAGTGTGTTGTCTCCTTGGAGCAGAATAGGGGACGCAGAGGCAGCAGGAGGGGGACCTGGAGGCCTGGGGAAGGGGGTCAGTCCAGAGCAGGAACTTGCAGGGGGCACGGCCAGGGCAGTGCCAGGCTAAGGGTGCAAGCCCCAGGGAGGGGGTGGGGGCTCATGGTGAAGAGGAAGTGAGCCGCCCCAGGGCTGCCAGGAGGGTGAGGGGAGGGAATCCCCGCGGAGGTTGCGGCACCCCTCCCCTCCTCAGTCACCCTCAGAGGCTGGATTTGAGGAAGGAAAAGCACTGCAGAGCTGCTGTGTTTAGAAAACAAGGGTCTGGATCTCTGCAGGGGCTGGGACCAGCTGCAGTGGGGGCTCTGGCACAGCTCCTGCTCTCCAGGACTCCTCCCACCACCCCTGAGCGGGCGCCGGGCCTGGGGCCACCTCACAGGAGAGGGAGGCACAGCGTTACCAGCTGCGGGGCGGCTGGACCCACGGCCTGCCTGGCTTGGAGTCTGAGCACCTCCCCAGCCCACCAGCCTGGCTACCGGACCTTGGACATCAGCTGCTCCGGGCCTCGGTCTCCCCACCTGTAAAGTGAGGCGATGGTGTGGACTCTGCGAGCTTGTGGCAGGAGTGACAGTGGATAAGGAGGTCCCAGGCCTGGTCATAGGAGTCACTGTCCCTCCTGCAGGGGCTGAGCTCCCCAGTGGCCAGAGCCTTGGGGTTGCGCTCTTGGCTGCGACCTGTTCCTCCCAGAAGCACAGGGCCCACCCACCAGCGGCCACCTGACCCTGGGCGGGCCACACCTGTAGTCACCAGCAGGCAGCTATTGTGACGCCAGGTTTCATTCCAAAACAGTTGTCTCTAAGGGTTTCCTATCTACCTGCTCCATGCAGTGCACCCAAGGCCAAGCCTCCCCTTCACCTGTGTGCCCGACCCCCCTCCCCCAGCTGCCCTGCGGCTTAGGCCCCATCTCCAGCCAAGACCACGACCCCCAGGGTTGCTGCAAAGAGCACCTTTATTCACAGCAAAAGGACGTCACCATAGCAACAACACTTAAATTCCCTGAGAACTTTTCCCTTATCATTCGCTTTCCTAGCTATGTCTTTGCAAAGAGAAAAACGACAAGAAACACACCCCACGGGGCAGGTGAGCCACGCTGGGCCCCGCAGGGAGGTGGCAGCTACGCAGGGGGAGGGCAGGGATGGGAGGTTCCAGATGCTGGAACGCATAAATACACAGAGTGCCAGACAGTCCCACTTCAGCTTCAACAACAAAGATGACCCCGAGTTTGGCTTCCGTTTTTTCTGATCCACAGAAAAGATAAGATAAAATAAGACCCTCCCCCACCCCCATCCCCCAAGCAAAAAAACAAGAACACCCTACTTTTTACCCACCCCCTTTCAAAAAAACAGCACAGTAAAAAAATACTGTCACAATATTTACAGACACGCCCACTGTGGGCGACTTGCTCTCTACTTTGGAGAGGAGATTAAATGTTGAGCTCTGACTCACCCTGTCCTGGGGAGGCAAAGGGAAGACCTCTGAGGGGGCCTGGAAGACTCCCCACCCAGAAGAGCTGGAAGGGGAGCCACTGTTTGGACAGCCAGCCACTGGGGGCTTTGTGGGGCCACTGGGGGCTTTGTGGGGCCACTGGAACTGGGCGGTGGCTACTGTTACTCTAAGCCACAGTGCCCAGGCCAGAAGGAAGGGGATTGGGTCATGCACCCCCAGACCCAGCCTCCCCTGCAATGAACACGGCTCAGTGAGTTGGACTTGGGGCTATGACACAGGAGTCAGGATTTCAGGGCGCAGGTACCCCCAGCACAGAGCTTGTGCTCGGCAGAAAGAGAAAGGCATCTACGCATCCCTGCAAAGTAGCCCGGAGCCCTGATCTATGCATCCCTGCAAAGTAGCCCGGAGCCCCGCAGCTGCAGAAAGATCCAAAAATCGGTAGGGTGTGCTGGCTCAAGCCTGTAATCCCAGCACTTTGGGAGGCCAAGATGGGCAGATCACGAGATCAGGAGATCAAGACCATCCTGGCTAACACGGTGAAACCCCGTCTCTACTAAAAAAATACCAAAAACTAGCCGGGCGAGGTGGCGGCGCCTGTAGTCCCAGCTACTCAGGAGGCTGAGGCAGGAGAATGGCAGGAACCCGGGAGGCGGAGCTTGCAGTGAGCTGAGATCCGGCCACTGCACTCCAGCCTGGGCAACAGAGCGAGACTCCGTCTCAAAAAAAAAAAAAGATCCAAAAATCATCAGAGTGGCCTCCGACACACAAATCCTCCCTCCAAGCAGGCCTTGCAGCCCACTGGCTCTCGGAGCAGAGGCACATAAGTGGCGCTTATGCCCGCCCCTCCACAGAGCAGAACTGCCCAGCAGCCTGCTACCTGGGTGGGCATACAGTACACACACACACGCATACACACACACACACATGCACACGCACACGCACACGCACAGGCACGGCCCTGGGGGAGCCTCGAATGCCGAGGCCAGGGCAGCGCAACAGGGTCACTGGGCCCTTTGGATACCAGGGGCGCCCAGGGGTTGGGTCTCAGCCATGGCTGCTAGAAGATGGCAGTTCGGGGACACCAGGGTGTGTCTGGGTACAGGTGGCAGTGGATGGAGCGGAACCTGTGGGAACAGAGCAGGGGTTGGTCTGTGTGGGTGGCAGGAAGGTGCTGAGCTCCCATTTGCAGTCCCACAGCACTGGCGGCCCCACCCCAAGCAAACAGGACTCCGGGGGGGTCACCTCTGTGTAGAGTCATGCTGCTTAGACCCCGCTGCAGCTCGGCGAGGTCCCCTGATGCCCCTACACCACCCTACGCAAGCCCATCTGGGCCAGCGTTTCCTCACCTGGATGGGTCGGCCTCCACTGAGAAAGGCCCCTTCACGTGGACGGCATTCCGCTTGTTTTCAAACATACCGTAGCTCAGTGTCACCTGTGGGGAGGGGGCGAAGTGATGCAGGGAGGGGCCCTGACATCCCCAGGCCCTGCCCCAGGCTGGCCACACAGCTCCGAGTGAGGCAATGGCCCTGCCTTGGCCTCCCTTGGACCTGGAAGGACACCTGCATTGCACACCCCAGGAATAAGGTCTCAAACTGGGGACCAGCTGGGGCCGGCTGCATCGCCAGCCGTGGGCAAAATACACACAATAGGCGCATCGCAGCGAAGAGAAGAGACGGCAGGCAGGAAAACAAGCCGCCGTAAACAGCTTTCAGCTCATGGCAGGAATGACCCCCCGGCTGACAGTGATGCGCTGCCTGGCCTCCCTGTTTGGAACAGTACCCCCACCCACTGCGCCCCTCTCGGCAGCCACGCATCCCTTCCTGTGCTCCGAGTCCTGGCGGGGCCCGGAGGATGGTGCACCTGCTCGTGGAGCTCTGAGGTGAGCACCTGCTGCAGGTTCTCCAGGTGGGAGTGGAAGAGGCCGCTGCGGATGAGCGGCACGCCCAGCAGGGCCTCCACGATGTAGCCAATGGTGCAGTCATCAGGCAGCCGGATCCGCTCGGCAGTGTTCATGAAGTGACCCCCGCTGTGGGAGGGAAGGGCCCAGACCGGTGAGCAGAGGCAGGAGCTATCTGCTGGGAGCTGGGGAGGCCCCACTAGGCAAAGGCGCTGCACTCAGAGAGGAGCCTCTGAGCTGCAGCTCCCTCTGCCTCCCCTGGCCACAGCCAGGGCACACTCCCTGCACGGCTCCTGTGCTTGGTGGCTCTCTGTGGCGGGAATCTGGGTGCAGGAAGGAGTCCTGCTGGATGGTGCCTGGGGTGCTCATGGCCCCCCTGGCTGCTCTGAGCAGGTTGGGCTTGGGGGCAGCCGCCATAAACACAGCTGCCCTCTGAAACCCAGAGGGAAGTGGAATATAGACAGTAAATGGAGGAGGAGGCTGGGGACTCCCTGCGGCTGGGAAGATGAACCAAGCCAGGCCCCACGATGGCGAGGAGCCCGGGACCCGGCTGGCCTAACTTGTGCAGGGCACTCACCTGGCCCACGGGCTCATCTTCAGAGCCAACCCACGACTGATGCAGAAGCCAGCGCCGCCCGTGGCAAACCAGAAGTGGACAGGACGCTGGGAGAAGGGAGAAGGTGTCCTGAGACCCGGGCGCTGCTGCCCCTTGCTGTCCCCCGCCCCACTCCGGGTGTGCGCTCCGCGTGGGCGTGGGGGACTGGGAGAGGGCAGGCACTCACCACCTTGTTCTCGCTGACCCGTTCCGTGGCCTGGATGGGCCTGTCCAGGCTGGGCTTGCCGATGTAGATGTCCCGCGTGTGCGGGTAGCTGGCCAGCAGCCGCAGCAGGGCCCGCAGGTTGACGTAGTTGTCATCATCCACGTGGCAGAACCACCTGAGGACAAGGCAGGGCCATCGGGGGAGGGCATGCCGGGGCGGGCGCTGCCAGGCTCGGGCAGGGAGATGGGGGTCCCCCCGGGCCACACTCACTTCCTGCCGGACTCGATGAAGTGGTCATACTCCACGGCCATCTTGCAGGACAGCGCCTGGCGGCTGTGGGCGGCCGAGCAGTTTGTGATGACCACATTGCCTGTGGACGGGGCAGTGGCTGTGAGTAGGTCTGAGTTGGCTCCCAGAGAGGGGCCTGGCCTGGGGGACGCTGCGGGGCCCAGGGACTCGAGAAAAGACCCCTAGTTCAAGCTGGGCCCGGCTCTAGCCTCCCCCACCCTAGCTCGGGGCTCGGGCCTGCGGACCCTCCCCCAGCCCAGCCCCCTTCCAGGGCAGCCCCGCCCCCGCCCATTCAGGCAGTTTTTTCCCAGCACCTGCCACCTGTTGCCGCTGCCTGGGCTCAAAGGGACCCGGGGGGCTGAATGGGCTTCATTTGCATGAGAATTGGGGGGGCCCGAGTGGTGGGGCGGGGCGTGGAGCAAACCCCATGAGTAAACTGCCCTCCTTGTCCTGCCCTTGGTGACCTCTCAGCCCAGAGGAGCCAGGAGGCTGGAGGGGGAGGGTTCCGCTCAGGATGGAGGCCTGGGCCCCCTCCCGCCCCAAATCCAGGGCTCACCCGTGTGCCTGGCCAGGGCCTCATCTTCCCCGTCAGTGAAGATGAATGTCTGGAAGGAGAAAATCAGCCCTCAGCAGCCAGCCCTTCATCCCCACCCCAGGGCCATCTGTGGGGGCCGGACGGGGCACCCTGGAGTTGCTGCAGCTGCAGCTCTGTCACACTGACACCCACCCTTCTCCGGGCCTTGGTTTCCCCACTCATGCAGAGTAGGGCTCAAGTGCCCCATCTCAGTGCCATCTGGGCCAGGGCTCACGCATTCACTCGCCCTGGGGGTGGGGGATGGGGCCTCACTCCCCAACCTCGACAGCTGCGCCCAAGGTCATCCAGGCGCGGTGAGGCACGAGCCAGGTGGTGCGCCTCGCCCGCCTGCCAGGTAACCGGTTCCCGGCCCACCCCGTGCACCTGGCGGGCACACACCCTTATTGACACAGCACCCGGCCTGCCACTTGGAGGCTGCTGGAAAGGCAGGGGACAGGCGGGGTGGCGGGAGGGACAGGCAGAGGAGGTCGGCTTTGGGAAGCCAAGTCTCAATCACTCGGGGTTGGGGACAAAGGCCTTCGCTGGGCGGCTGCCAAGCCCTGGCGGACAAAGGGCCCGGAGGGAGGATGAATCACCAGGCATTGTCCGCCAGCTTTGTCCTGGGCTGGCGGGCGAGGGGCGCCGGGCCGGCCTTAACTCGGCCGAGTTAAGCAGAGTGGCCACACCACCCATTACCATACAGCTGGCCTGGTTAACTGGGCCGAGCTGGGCACGAGGTCCCGCGGGTAGGGTGCAGCCACCAGCAGTGCAGCCCCCACCCCCAGCTGCCCTTTGGGCCAGCACCCCTGTCCTGGATGACCTGCAGGACAAGTTACCCACTCTGAGCCAAAGCAGCCCTGAAGTTCTGCAAAGTTGCTGACGGTCAGTAGGGTTGTAGCAGGAAACCTCAGGTGTCCCCAGCCCCCAGGTCAGGGGCTCCCAGTACCCATGCAGCCCAGCACCCCTCCCACTGCTCAGGCAAGGAAACCCAGGCTTGCCCAAGGCCACAGCCCACCTGTGCCAGCACGCGGCCGCCCCCTGCCAGGAGCACTCTGCGGAAGAGGAGGGGGCCGCCAGGGTGGGGCCAGGAGTCGCCAGCGCCCGCCTGGGCCTGCCGGCACACGGGGAGGAATGTTCCTTCCTTTGCCTGGCCCGCCCAGCGCGTGCCGCCCGGCGCACCCTGGCATGGCTGAGTGCAAAACCCAGGGCGTATGGGCAATGCTCTGACCAAGAGACAACCTCCCCATGCCCACCTGGCCTCAGTTTCCTTCCCTGTACACACAGGTCCCGCAGAGGCCCTGGAACACCTTGGTGGTCTCAGATCCTTGTCCAGCCTGACCCAGCCCTGGGCACATGCTGACTCGGGTGAGGCCCAGAGCTAAGGGGGTGGCTGGCTGGGTCTCTGCCTCTCCATGCGTGCACCCCTCCTGCAGCACCCATAGACACCCCAGGGCAGCCGCACGCACAGACTCGCACCCAGCCCCTTGGCCTCCCCAGCATCTCAGCCCAGGAATGCCGTGGGAGGCGGAGGGCCAGCCCCTGCAGACGCTCCGCTGTGCCGCTGGGTTAAAAGGAAAATGCTTTCTTAATGAGATCAAGGGAGGCCTGTTCTCCCGAGATTTGGTGGTGCCCTAAAAACCCAGCCCAAGGCTACAGAGATTAAAGTCACCTTTGTTCAGCTCAGGGAGCAGGGAGGCCTCTAGAACAGCATCTGAGAAGGCGGGGCTGTGGGGTGTGGGGGTGCCGGGCCAACTATCTCCCCACACCTGAACCACCAGGAGGGGAGGAAAAAGGCCTGCTGGGTTATGGGCCTCAGCCGCCACTCAGAGCCCCCATCTCCTTTTCTGTAAAATGGGCATAACAGAGCTCGCCTGGGCAGAGAGCAAATTGCAGAGACAGATTCTCTCCCTTCTCCCTGACAGTCCTGGGAGGGGGGCGCCATTACCAGCTGAGGCACAAGTGGGGAAACTGAGGTCCAGAGAGGTACAGGCACCAGCTTGAGGTCATACCCTGGGGCCGAGGTGGTGCTAGACCAGCCCAGTCCCTGCCCTCTAGGGACCCAGACCCCCCAGTGCCACCTAACTTCCCAGATGAAGACGGGGCTGCAGGAGGAAGAGCCGGGTGGATGAGGGTGGATGAGGGTGGATGGGGGTGGGGGGCGGGGGCCGGGGGACACCCACAGGAAGCGGCATTGTTCCTGGAGACGCGATTCAAAGAAACACAGGATGCCAAGTTCTCCCCAGCAATTGTGGCCGCTGCGGTGGCAGCTCGGCAGCCTGGCTGCTCCTGGGAGGGGCAGGGAACCTCTGGGCCAAAGGCCAGGCTCTTCATCCTGGACTCCAGGCCCATCTCGGCGTGGCCCCTGCTGACCAACCGACCCTCCCCCCAGCCACCACTCCAGTTGCTAGAAGTTTCCTGCACAACCCCCACGCTGTGGTCATCACCATGCCCGGATGGAGTGCCCTTTCTGGGCACTTTTTTACTCAGTCTAGCTCAAATGGCACCTCCTCCAGGAAGTCTTCCTTCCCTCCCTCCCTTCCCCCAGCATGTGGGTCAGATGCCCACTGTTGCCTCACACAGCGTCTCGGGGATTTCCCCCCACACAGCCCTGACATCTTTCTATCTCCCCCATCAGACCGCGTCTGAGTCATTCCGTGCAGGGCTAGGAGACGGCGGCCCTCTTCTGTGGGTTTCCAGGACCCCTGCCCATCACCCACCACAAGGGGGGCTTTGCTTGCTGTGTGCTGGTGAACTGATGCTGAGGGCCGATTCAACCTTCCCCCTGGTGGGGTGACCCTCCAATAGGGACCTCAGGGCTCAAGGGAGCGATGGCCCCCACCTCGACCCTGAGTGCCCGCCGGGTTCACCCCATGCCAGCAGGCTCTGCCAGTCTCTTACAACATGCTCCTGGAAGGACCATGTTCCCCCATTTCAGAGATGAGAGTAAGGGTCTGAGAGGCTCCAGGTCTTACTCAGGATCACACAGCCCAGCTGAGACCGATAACTGAGACCCTCTGACAACATCCCCTCTGCTGAAGAAAGGTCCCAAATTCCAAGATGGGAGGTGCTCAGAGCTGGTGGCAGCCCAGAGTGGGGCTGAAGGATGCCCAAGGTCACATAGCAGGAAGGCTTGAGTGCTGGGGGTGGGGGGCCAGGCTCGGGGATGGTGCCCCAAAAGGACTGTCAGGAAGAGATGCTGGCGGCGGGGG